GGAAGGGGTGGAACTTTTTCGCGAGGCCGTAGTAGGCCTTTTTGATGTCGGATTGGGAGGCCGACTTGGACACGCCGAGGGTGCCGTAGGGGTCCTTTGGGGTTGCGAGCTGGGGGCGGGTGGTGTGGAAGGACTGTTTGCACATATCGTCAGTTAGGAACCGTGGTGATGTTCAAAGAGGAAAGAAGGGGAAAGCTTACCCTAGGTTGAACAACCACATACTGCACTCCTCCTCCCCTCGTCTTGGGAAGTCTCGCTCTCGTCGAAGCTGCGGTGCTATACCCCGCCGATGGCAATCTGATGCGCTGCTGACGACGACATATCGGCACCGCGCCCCTCACAGGAGCAACAATAGCAGCTGTTTTCGCGGCAGCCTTGGGCAGCAGTATGCTCGAACTCATCGCGAAGCCCTCTCTCTTTCTTAACCCCTCCAAACCTAGCTTCTGTTCAAATTTTCCTCAATTGGCTACAACTTTTCCTCGGTGTGACGTCAAATAAAAGCACCTCACACAACAAAGCGGGGAGAAAGAGAGAGAGAGAGAGAAACAAGAAGACTGAGGAAAAAAAGGATTGGTAATATGCTTCAAGTTGCTGCTCTTCCAGATCAAGCTTCAGATGACAACTTTTTTGACCCGCAGCTAACTTCTTCGCTGGTATGAGAGCCTGAGGCAACCTTTCCAAGCCCGCTTATTGGCGGGTTTGTACCATCGCTGCCCACCTGTAGAAACCACCACCAGTTTCTACGGACCCCACCCCACGGCACTTGGTCCGAGCGGCGGCGACGAGCGCGACCCGCGACTTTTCTCAATTAAAAACCCGGCCCACACACAGCACGCAAAACACGCGACGGGATTCTTCTCAGTCGGTGGTAGGTGGTTGTCCCTCGGCTCTATCGCAATGTCGCAATCATTAACCATTTGGTAAAGTGGTATATCTATTGGCTACCCACAACACGAAAAAGACTTTCATGATGCCTGGTATATATTTATAAACAAAGCCCGAATAATAGCAAAGGACTGTTACAGAATGGAAAACCAACCAAAAAAAAAAGAAAAGAAAAACTCTCCCTAACGCCGAAAACTCCCTCTTGCGGTGTAGTAGTAGTAGTCGCAGGTATCCCTTTCCATCCCATTACCCATAAGTCCTATTCCATCCCACCCATCCGTCCGTCCGTACATAATGTGTAGTGCCGACCGATCCAAGCATTCCCACTCTACTAGACCAAAGGAGTACTGTTCTTTCCTCCCCGTCTCATGCTGAGCCATAGCCTTATCATGCTTGTTGTGCCCACAAAATTATTTATCGAGCTCAGGAGGTAAATGTATATACTCTCTGGGCTTCCTCACAGGCCTTTGTGGTCTTCGGGTCTTGATCTTGTGTAGAAACTCGACGATAATGTCATTTTCTTGCGCCCCTTGACCATTAAAGTGTTTCCTGACCGCCGTCGACAGCTGATCCGTCGTTTGTCTTCGGAGTTCTTTTCGTCTTGCAATCGTCGGCGAGTAGAGACCTAGACTCCCAGGTTGGGTGAGAACCCATTGGTGGTGTTCGCTGGCAAAGGTGGTCGGTGTTCTCAATCGGTAGGCTCGGCGGTAGGCGTGGAGGACTTCGCGATCAAAGGCAGGCCATTGGAGCTGTTGTTGGAAAGAAGAAAGTTAGCAAAATGTCAATAAATTGTGTGAAAGGGGTAGGCAGTCTTACACCAGGAACGTTCGCCCCTTGCGCACCCGCACCCGTCGTGGTGGCCGAGCCAGCCGCTGTCGCCATCGCCGGAGCACTCGTGGCGCTGACATTGGTGACTTCTTTCAGGTTGGAACCGGTATTGCTTGCGACACGGCGCATCTTTCCGTTGGACTGGTGTGAATGCCCTCCGTTTTTATCCTTTGTATTTGGTGTGTCCGTCTTGGAGTCATCCTGACCGCCCCGGGCGGCTTTCGCGGGCGCCATATTGTGGATTGGGTGCTGAGCCACCTAAGAAGAAATGTACAGAGTATAGACTTTGATTCCCCGAGGCAAGTTCTCACATCCTAGGAGTCAACCAAGCTCAAACAACGACAGGAAGCTGTACAGTTGCTGGACCGAAGTGGACATGGGGGAGACAAGAGGGGACTTTCTGGGACGGAAAAGATTGCCTGCCAGCCCTGCGTCGCAAGGCAAAAGCGCGGGATCCCTGGAGCTCTGACGACACAGCGCCTTTCGGCCAAGCTCGGGCCCTAATTGGTCAGTCAAGCAGGGGACCTTACCACTTTAACCCAGGTCATTGGAAACCCCCCCCCCCGCTTTGGCTTTGTAGTACTTGTCGTTGCCTGCCGTGATATCCATATCCATAATGTTGGAGTTGTTGCTTTCTCCAGGGAGTGGTGTAAAGTTGTTATTGACCAAAGCGGCTATGGCTGCGGTGTTGGAAATATGTATAATCTCTGAAAGTTTTTCCAGGAAGAGTGAGATTGAGTTGAGAATGGAAGAGGTTCGCGGAGCTGCAATTGGCCCAGAGAAGTTTAGCTTTGGATCGCTCGCACGGAAGATGGCTGACTAGGCCCGCACTCCCGGCTTTCCTATTTTGCCTTGTACTTGTCATCCCATCTTTGTCGAATCTGTCTCGTTCCCCTCGGCGCCTCTCAGGATGAGTGACAACGTCGCACCTCGACAGCGCCGGCTTCGGTTGAAGCCGACGGCACTGGCCAGGCAATTATTTGTTCGGCAGGCACCCCAAAAGTCTGTGTGGTGGGCCGTGGGGTTGAAGTCGCAGAATGATGTGAGGGGTTTTGTTCGGATAGCTGCTTGACGTGCATCACGCAGCGCGTTCCTGGTCACGCAACTCGCGAATCTCCGACCTGCTTGGCTTCTCGGCTGTTCAGAGGGATCCACTGGCAGAGGGCATCTATTCTACGTCCATAGGTAGCTTGAGGGTCGACACCTACGTGGCAACATAGTAAAATACCGAATGTCTCGGCAGGCAGCGAGTTGACATGCTGCTGTGCACGTGTATGCCCCCTTCTTCCCAGGAGTTCCACAGCATGAGCAACTCGTGGGCTCGTTACGTCTCAGGTGTCTGAGAGAATCGAGGCATGGCTGTTCTCAAGAGACCTTCTACTACACCAAGAGGGTGTACACACCTCCTCCTTCAGGTACCACATCCTCACCTTTCGGTCGACCTGCATGCAGCTAGGACGACGGTGGCGCTTCCTTGGTGGTTTTTCGCCGCCCAGACAGCATCTGGAGCTTCTTCAGCAAATCACTGACCTCGTAACCGGTCAGGTGCGATGTGGACAATGCTTGTTCTCGCACTTGAATCTCGAGGGCTCGTGTTACAACTTTGAGCGAGGCTGACAACCACCTAGGATCGTCCTGGGTTTGCTGCCCACATCCCGCGTTTCTCAACGGCATTGCTCGAGGGCCACCACGATCCCCACGACTTGTCCGCATTAGCGCACACGACAAAACTCGAGTGGTGGCTGGTGAGATTCAGTTCAGATCGATGAGCCGCTCTACCTATGAAGCTGCGGGGTACTGCCGGGGGCGACTTCACCTCAGACCATCTCGGCTGGGTAGGTATCATGAAATCATGAGCACTGTTGCGTGTTCCTGATGGAGCTCGGGGATGCCGAAGAATATTCGATGCCAGAAATACCGCAGCAAAGTCATTGTCCCAGTGGTGTGGATTTGGGTGAATCATGACAGTCGCGTGCCCAGAGCCTTGGGCCCTGACATGACCAGCATCGTGTGTCAGCCCAAAAAAAACAAAAAAAAACAAATGGTGGCTTCTTAGGATGTGTCCCACGCCTTCCAAGTTGTTTGGGAACGCTGCTGGGGAAAAAAGTTGGGGGTCACACGAGACTAGGGATGCCCTTGGCTGTCCATGGCTCTTGACACGCTGATTGTGATCGTGTGCGCATTCTGATGCCTCAGATTATGGGGCGTCTTTCCATATGCAAGTCCAGTGGGAAGAATAGACTCGGTTTGCGGGAAAATCGAGTTCTACGGCTCTTGGCTCCCCAACCTAACCATGTTGGATTCTGAGTGGCACTGAGTGGGTGTGGTGGTTGGTGAAGCTGAGGTCGCCCTGTGGGCCTTGTGCCAGCTGTTGAACGTACACCGAATCCGGGATTGGGCGTGGTTTGAACCTAGTGGCTGACCGAGTCCTCTCAGAGAGGAATTGTCTTTGAGAATGACCGGAGAGAATGAAGCGGTGTTCACAGAATGAAATATGAAATGTCTCGGAATGATTTTTGGTTTGATAATCGATAGAAGGAAAAGCGGGCCAGCTGCCAGCCAATGCCCCCCCATAGCGGGAAGACTCCGCCAATCAGACAGATCTACCCCGGGTCCCCATATTTTCTTCAGCAAACGAACCGATCCACGGACCACGGGTGGCAGGGAGTCCAGGGACGACCCTTGTCCCTTGGCTGCCAGAATTCACCCCACGCCACGCTCCCGCGCTCACTCCAAAGACGTTGATCAAAAAGTCGACGGGTGCCCAGAGCTATCAAAAGAGAGTTTCAAAGACATGGGCCATCATGGACTCGAGACGGTCAGCGAATTCGGCGTTTATCCGCTCTCATTGTGATGGGATGAAGAGGCCCAGGCCACATCACGCTCCGTTAACGCAAGAAAGCGGGGCTCAGGAGATGAAGGGGGGTGGTGCCAGAAGTCCAGAGCAATGGTCGGCTTTCTCTGAGAGGCGGGTCTCGTTTACCCTTACCTCTGACTGTGAGTGACCTCCAAGTGTGAGTAAAGAGCATGACCTCCGCAGCCTGCGAGTAGCCCTGGAGGGTCTTGCTTCACACACCAACCTGGGAGGCTAAATACTTTCGTCTCCTGTTGGCTGGCTACCGCTTGGCTGTTCCCCCACTCACACCCAGCATCCTCGAGGCACCCCAACACTCAAGTGTCTGCGCCGCATCAGGCCAGCCGCGCAAGAATACTGTGTGGAAGCCGTCATCTCCGTGCGACGGCCGGGCGTGAGAACTCGCGGCGCACCCTTTCCAGGTCCTCGGGATCGTAGATTGTCTTTTCAACATTTTCGTTGCAAATTCCGGTCTTTGGCCATGTGGCACACCTCTGGGCGCCTTCAACACCACCGTGGAGTCCCCGTCTCGACGGTTGATTCCCTTCTGCCAGCACTACAGCTTCACAGTAGGTACTTGGGTAGAAAAAGAGCGGGCTTTTCGGGACCCCGCCAGTTGGAGAGCCCCGCGCCTTGGTGCCGGATACCCTGACATGCTGTGTCCAAGGGTGTCCTCAAACCCAAGACACATCTGGTAACGAACCTCTTGACGGCCGAATCTGGTTGCGGTTCGCCCTCCCCAGCGGCAGCAGCTGGGATCTACCATCATCATTAGCAATCCAGTAGAAAGCAGCAAGACATGTTACCCAAAGCTGGATGAGCATCCCGAAGTGCCTAGCGGCATGTGGCAGCCAGGAGTGGCATCAACCGGTACATGGTGAGATGGGCGTGAACTGAGGTGCAGATGCATGGGCATGGATCCTAGGAAAGTCCTCAGGGACCCCATTTCGGCCACGGCAGCACACGGCCTCTCTGGGCAGCCGTCCCTTTCTTATAAAACCCCAATGGATGGGCCATCACCTCGAGACCCCCACACTGCCGCCGCTTCTGATTCTTCTTCTCCCGCTCTTCCCCAGAAACACCACTTCCTGACCCACGGGAGGCCAAGGTTGGACAGACAGCCTCAGCAGTCCGGGGAAAGACGCAGACGTCAGGTCCCGTGCAACTATTCCATCCATCGCACCGCATCGACGACGGCAACCCTCAACAAGACCCCTCGACAGACCCCTCTTCGTCGCGGTCCTTCCCACCAAACCCCGTGCGGATTACGACTCTGCTTATTCTTTAGCCTTGTCTGTCCGAGTCCCTTGTCCCGCTACACTTTGCCTCTCTGAGTGCGCTACCCGCGGCCAGGTATGTATCCTCGTTTTTCTTCTTCTCCAGTGTTTATCCGCAACCCTTCAACCCCCTTCGACCCCATCAGCCCAAGCCCCACTCCCGAGACTCCAAAGCTGGTTTCTTCGAGTACCACAAAACATTTCGGATGGCAATATGGGCATGGATGCTCGGGACGAGATTGAAGCGGGCCAGCCAGCAGCCATCCACGACAGCTGGACTGTGCGCAACCATATATCGCCCGTGCAGGGAGCCGAATATGCCTGGACAATGCGCTGCCGAGATGGACCATGTGTCAAGACGAAGGTGATGAAGATACACCATCCTCTCTCTCCTGTCTCCTCACCACCCTCGCTCCGCGGCTGGTAGGAAGGGACCGCTTTTCCAGTCCAGGCTGGTCAGCTACCTACCTGACCTCGGTGGCATGGCTGGGCAAAGGGTCGGACAACCAGCTCCTCTCCTCCTTCGCAGGCAACCCAAGATTTTTTTTTATCCCTCGTCCCTCCCCGGTCCCCCTGGCTGTTCCAGCAAAGATACTCCACCCGAGCGCTTGGTCCACCAGCTTGCTTGCAGATGCTCTGATGCTGCTCGGGCCACCCCCCCCCTCTACATACAGTAACCCCTACCCCCATACCACGTCGTACCCCGGCTGCCCCCGCTCGCTCTTCGGTTGTCCAGGCCCTTTTCCTAATGTGTGCCCCGTGCTGAGTGGTCCGCTGGCTGGGTGCTGGCGGGCGATGTTCCGTTCATTTTCCCGCATCGGTTCCCAAAAGCTCTTGTCGCTGATCTTATGCTACAGACCAGGAAACCGCATTATTTTACTGAAGAGGCCTTCTCCGACGCGCAGCGGCATCTGGCGGGCTTGCTCTTGTTTTTTGCCTCCTTTGTTTGAAAGAAATTTCAGCTTTTTTTTTTTTTTTTTTTGGTTCTGAACGGGAGG